ATCACCAAACATTCAAGGGACTGTCATGGGTAGCAGGGACAGAGTGACTGAGGTGTACCCATAGAATGAAATATTATACAGCCTTAAAAAGGATGGAAATTCTGGGCTGGCCCGAGCATCTTCTCATCTGTCAAGGAAAACACAGCAACACGTTTAACTAGGTGGCACAGGGTGTCAGTTTAAATAATATAGTTTGGAGGTGGCAGCCCTCTGAGGTTCAGCTTTTTTATCTCTTAATTTGAACTAGAAGATCTTTAAAGTCCCATCTAGCTCTAATAGCTTATGATTCACACACACATCACCAAACATTCAAGGGACTGTCATGGGTAGCAGGGACAGAGTGACTGAGGTGTACCCACAGAATGAAATATTATACAGCCTTAAAAAGGATGGAAATTCTGGGCTGGCCCGGTGGCTCACTCGGGAGAGTGCGGTACTGATAACACGAAGGCCCCAGGTTCAGATCCCATATAGGGATGGCCGGTTCGCTCACTGGCTGAGCGTGGTTCTGACAACACCAAGTCAAGGGTTAAGATCCCCTTACCGGTCATCTTTAAAAAAAAAAAAAAAAGATGGAAATTCTGACCCATCTACAACATGGATGAGCCTTGAGGACATTAGGCTAAATGAAATAAGCCAGTCACAAAAAGAAATACTGAATGATTCCACTTTACGTGGTATCTAGAGTAATCAAAGTCATAGAGACAGAAAGTAGAATGGTCATTGCCAGGAGCTGCGGGACATTAGGCTAAATGAAATAAGCCAGTCACAAAAAGAAATACTGAATGATTCCACTTTACATGGTATCTAGAGTAATCAAAGTCATAGAGACAGAAAGTAGAATGGTCATTGCCAGGAGCTGCAGGGAGGAAGGAACAGGGAGTTGTTTCATAGATACAGAGTTTCAGTTTTGCAAAATGAAAACAATTCGGGAAATTGTTTGCACAACAGTGGGAATCTACTTAAAGCCACTGAACTGTACCCTTCAAAATGGTTATTATAGTAAACTTTATATTGCATATATTTTACAACTAAAAATTAAAATTAAAATTAAATCACTACTGATTTTAATATGACTATATCACTGATATTTTTGAAACCCACAGGGAAGTAAATACAGTTCAAATATGTAGGTCCAAATATAAAATTTTCCAAATCCCCTTTATCTCTTTCAGCATTCCAAAGAAGCACACATTCTGCTCAGCCATATGAAAAAGAGGTATCAATGACATCATGGGAAAGTTTTCTACAAACTAGAATTCCTACCCTAACCTCTCACTTAATTCCCTCAGCTATGATTGAATGTTTATGTCCCCTCACCAAAAAAAGATTCATATGTTGAAGCCCTAACCCCCCAATGTGATAGTATTTGGAGGTTGGGCCTTTGGGAGGTAATTAGTTTTAATTGAGGTCATGAGGGTGGAGCCCTCATGATGAGTTAGTGTCCTTATAAGAAGAGCGCAAGAGACCAGAGCTCGCTTGCCCTCTCTCCACCATGTGAGGACACAGCAAGAGAATAGCCATCTGCAAGACAAAAGAGCCCTCACCAGGGAACTGAATCAGCCAGCGCCTTGATCTTAAATTTCTCAGCCTCCAGAACTATGAGAAATAAATACTGTTCAAGCCACTCAATCTAAGGTATTTTGCTATAGCAGCCTGAGCTGACTTATATACCCTCGCAGACCAAAGTCTTAACCTGGGACCACAGCTCTCTGAGCAATCTCTAAATTGTACTCATGTTCTACTGTTAATGCTGTGTCTATGGCTAAAACTCCAAGTCAAGATCTCCAAGTAATTTTCTAGCAAGAAGGCCTTGTCTAAGTCATTGACACCTTTTGAACAGGTTCAAGGCAATGTATTCTGGTCTTTAACTTTCCAATTCTTAATTCCTACATGATTGTCACAAAGCGCTACGAGACCTCTTTGCTACTTGGATGTCTTAAAAGTAACCACTGGTTTTACATCAAGCGTGTTAGTGGCACAATACTGTTGCATCCTATACAGAATTTAACAGATTGCCTCAGCTTCAAATATGTGATGAACCTTACACTCAAGATGGCTACATACTGTTGCATTATTTAGTATTAATATAATTTTCCTGGTTTCCACTTCCAACCCATATGAATTTACACCAAGCTTAGGGTTCTCCTAGGGCAACCATCGCAATCGTTCTCCCAGAAACTCTTTCACCCCTGACTGACACAGCTCTTGCTATTCTGCTTGTCCAACTCATTAGGTTTACTAATTATCTAATAAATATTTACTTCTGTGTCTCATGAAAGAGTCACTGCTGGAAGAACACAGCCATTCTAAGGAAAGGGGAGGGGAGAGCAGGACCTATGTTACAGTCAAGGAAGTGATTCAGGCAGAAAATAGGAGAGTGCTGTGCTTCATCGACCCCTGCCTCCTACTTCCCAGGAGAATGAGGGGAGGCAGCAGCCTGGCAGGGGTACAGGGAAGTTGGCAGAGAGAGCTAGACGTTCCTTTCCAACTCAAGTTTCAGCAGTGCAATAGAATGGGGCATTCGTGAAGCTTAAAAGGAAAGACCAAACCAGGTCAGTCCAAACAGATCCAACAAGGTCCCCCCGGGAAGTTCAAAATATGTATCCTCTGTAAGGGCTTCACCTGCCTGTCTTCTATAAAGGCAAAGTGTTCGAACACATTTTATGGTTATTACATGCATGTCCATCTCAAATACTGAGAAAACAAATGTTCAAACATTTACATTTCATGTGAAGAAAATATAGAGTTCACAAAGACTTTTAAAGAACTGTACCTTATTCCATTCACTTGTGATTCGTAATATGATGCAGTAATCACTCCCTGTTTTCAAGGGTGCATTATAATATTTCCCATAGTATAGCCTGTCTCCAATCGATATCTCCATGGCATCATCCGGAACATCTTTGGCCAGTAGTTCTGCAGCCACATATCCTTCAGCATCCGAGATGTTGCTAAAGAATGAGGTAGCCCCTTCAGAATCACAAGGAAATGTGCTTTGGAGGGCCAGGGGAAGCACTAGCACCTGATATGAACTGGAAGAAACAAAGAAGAGTGTCTATCAGACCCCTGCTTGGAGGATTCCCTCATTCATTTACTCATATTTATTGAGCACCTGCTATGAGATGAACAACTTTTCCAAGCACTGGGGACACAACACTGGACAAAAAGAAGTCCTGACCCACATGGGATTCATAGTCTGGCAGCTCCAACAGTCATGGAATTCCAGTTTCAGCCTACAGTGTTAATGCCAGATGACCTTGAGCAAGAGACCTCTCTCAGTTGTAGCTGAAGAGGTATGCCAAGCACATCCTCTTTAGCCAGGAGGAACTGCTGCATGCACTGCTGCCCTGTGTGTATATGTCATAAAGTTGATCTAATCAGTGATTTTCACGTGGGCAAATAAAGCCCAACTGTGGAAAGAGTGTAAAGCAGTCACATGGAAGCCAACTGCCTGTAAGAGTTAATGCACCAAGTCTGAAAAGAGGCTGCCGACAATCATGTGGCAACCTAAAGCAGAACTCATGTGATTTACATTCCCTACAGTTCACAGACTGATACCAAAGTTCCTGTGAAATAAATGACTAGCCCGGAGTGCAAAGCCACTATGAGTTAATCTATTCTGACAATATCCTGAAGCAGACAGAAAGGTAAAATGTCACATGTCCATTGTGAAACTGTTCCCTAAATGTGGACAGAAAAACACACTAACAATCAGGGGTCATTTCGTCGTGGGTTTTATTATTATTTATCCCACCAAATAGAAAAGCTGTCAGTGCAAGCATGTCCATTGTGAAACTGTTCCCTAAATGTGGACAGAAAAACACACTAACAATCAGGGGTCCTTTCGTCGTGGGTTTTATTATTATTTATCCCACCAAATAGAAAAGCTGTCAGTGCAAGGAAGTATAATAATAAAAATGCACTGAGAATGAATCATGCTTCCTCTCTGTTCCCTCTATTCAGTACTTATCTCTGGCCTCTAGTATAAGAGGTGTTTGAACATCTGCTATCCCTGTCAGACTTGATAGCAGGGACTTGAATGACTTACTCTTGTATCCTTGCAAATCCTTGCACAGTACTTTAGCTATGCTTAACCCCACCCCCCCCACTATGAATGTTTGTTGAGTTGAAATTTCTAAAGAAGAAAAGCATGCAGTGCCAAATGTGATGAGGGCAATTTCCAGAACTCATTAGAACACGTCATTCCATTTTACCAGCAAATTTGCACTTCCTACTCCACATTTCCCATGCCCCATATCCTACTTCCTAAAAGCCCATGAATCATTCAGTTAAGAAGAGGGGGACCTCCCCACTGTAGTTGTAGGATTTGGAAAGTCTCCCCACAAACATTCTAGGTGGCCTCAGGGCCCTGATTTCCACAAATCTGGGCTCACTTTCAGCAGACGGCTTTCTCGAGACAAAGTAAAACCTGCAAGGCAATAAGTTGTTACTGCTACCACCAGTAAACTCTTACTAAGTATCCATTGCCTACAGGGAACACCTGTAAGAACAAACTTTCCTGGGGACTTGGACATATCCCTATGCAAAGTGGCTGTAGATAAGAAAATTAACGTTGCAACAGCTCCATGCTGTCATAAGCACATCTTCAAATCCCTCTCATCTTTCCAAGTTAGCAGTCAAGTGCAAATTCAAGGCTCACCTGCATCCATTTGGTTCTATACATGGCCCCCTCAGAGGCATCATTCACAGGCAGGAAGCAGCTCCCCAATTAGGCTGATCAAAATTACCTGAGTTACCTGATAACTATATAATTTCCCAGACCTCATCCAGAACTACTGAATCAAAATCTCCAGGAGTAGAGTCTGGGAATTTCTATTGCTGATAAAGCACCCATGGTGATTTCTATAAACTGGCAAGTGTGGGAGTTACTAGCATTAAGGGAGCCCAGCAACAGGGTGCATCATCTACCAAAAATCAGCAAGCTCAGGAAGGGAGCCTCATCTCAGGTCCCTTGCTCCTCCATGTGTACCAGGCCACAACCCCAAGCAATGCACAAAGCACACTCAGACCCGTCACACACTGGCAAAGCCACTACCCCCAGCTCAAACCAGGTAGCCAGGCTGAGGAAATTGCCCCACTTGCCTGCTAATAATTAGCTTGATGACATTCAGGAAGCAGCTGTGGCTGTTTGAAACATGACTGTTCTGGAAAGACTTCTCCCCTCTTTCTCGCCACCACCCTCCCTTGAATGACTCACAGATCTCCACTTCCTGTTTTGGAGGCACTGGCTGACACATAGCCACAAGGATAGGCTGTCATTTGGCTCTTCTTTTTGCCTTACGTAATTGTTTGGCTTAAATATCACATTTGCTGTTGCAAATTCTCTAAGGCAGTGATGTCACAACTTCTGTTCTACTGACAGCAACAGAATTACAATGCCTTCCAGAACTTGTCAGGAATCAAGAAACTGAACAAGGTATGTAAGGTCCATCCCTGGAAAGACCTTTGGGCATTTCCTGAATTTAAACTAATATAAAATCAGGAAAACCCTAAGTTTCATTATAAATGGACACCCAGATATTATCTCCAGACCTTCTTTTTCATAATTTCATACTATCTCACATTTATTTTTATCTTAATTGTACTGAAGGGTCAAGAGACATAAGGCAATGTAGGTGAGACCATGTGCAATGTCATCTCCTTGACCTGGTACTGTGAGCCAGTTGCTCATCTCTCCAGACCAACGTCAATCCTCCTCTCTAATAAAGGGACTGATTCTACTTTCTTAATCCTATCATGATCTTTGTAAATAAAATGCTTAACTGAATAAATGTAGTCCTCCAACTGAGGTAAATTAATTCTGTCCTAATACCATCTGGAATCCCAGAAGCGGTCATTAAATACACAGTGTCTTGCCCATAACTCTATACCTGAATGGGTGAAAAAAATTATCCATTTGGGGCCAGCCCGGTGGCGCACTGCTATAGTGCGCCGCTTGGGAAGCGTGGCGGCGCTCCGTTCGGATCCCGCATACAGACCAGTTCCCGCTCACTGGCTGAGCGAGGCGCGGGGGCAACACCAAGGGTTGCGATCCCATTGCTGGTCCCGGTCCGGTACGGGGGCGACACTGAGGGTTGCGATCCATTGCCGGACACAGAAAAAGACAAAAAGGAAAAAAAAAAATTATCCATTTGACCGATCCAGAAATCACTACACAAGATCAGCCTTCCATAAAGGGGAACATATTCTGTCTTTGGCAAATGAAATGATGCTCCTGACCCACCGTCACTAAAGGATGGGTGTCCTACGAGAAATGAGTGTCATGGTCAATGCCATGTCAGAGACACTCAACCAGCACTTGTCCAATTACCAAAGGAAAGAAATTTCTTAAGCTGAGCTGCCCAAATGCTTGCCTCTTGTCCCTTAGAAGTCTTTCTATTTGTGTGGCAAGATGATGAATGGGATGGAAGACCCAGTCTGTGCCCAGGAAAACAAAAGAAGAGGCCCTGGCTGCATTGCTCCAGCAACTTGAGTGTAGTTGCCCCCATAGAAGTCTCCTCCTCACCCAAACCCAAGTTTCCAAAACCATCCACGGGGACCCCTGGGCAATCATGGAGAAAGGATCGCCACTGACCTGATAGGCCCATTTTCCTCCCTGGCTTTCTTCAGTCTGAGTCGAGGTATAGGCCCTCCGTGCACTGTAATAAAGTCTACTTCTGGAAGGGGAGGCTCTGAGAACATGTCAAAAAGAAGAAAAAGGTATAATCAAAACAAGTAAAAAGCACAAAGAAAGTGGACCTTGTGGGGGCCGTTACAAGGAAAATTTTCATGTAAGAAGTGATACACACACTGTGATACCCACTACCACAAGATGGACCTTGAAAACACGCAAAGTGAAATAAGCCAGACACAAGAGGACAAATACTGTATGGCTCCACCGTGGGGTTATGGCCATTTCATAACTAAAGTCTCCATTTGTATTGTCAGGGCTAGGGCTCAGACCCTTCGAACTCCTTGTACAGACTAGGTCACCAGATCCCTCACATGCGGGTCCACGCTAGGTAATTAGGAAAGATCCCAGGAGCCATTGGCAGATGACATGAGCTCAGTCCTCAGCAGCAGCAGCAGCAGCAACTGCTTACAGCAGCCTCCAACAGCAGTAGCGGCCTCCGTGTGGCATCCCGGGGGTGGGGGCACCATGGACCAGAGCCACTAGTCCCTTATACTTAAGTCCATAACCCAGGACACCTGGGTGCACATGCACAATTCCATTAGACAATAACCAAGGAACACCTGGGTGCACGTTCATATTTACATCAAATGCTTGGCAAGATTCTGAACATCTGAAGGACTCTGACCATTTTCCTGTATTTTCCCTACGCTCCACTTAAATGAAATACCTAGAATTGGCAAATTCATAGAGACAGAAGTCGATTATAGGTTGCCAGGAGTTGAAGGGGTGATTGGAAAATGGGGAGTTATTGCTTAGTGGTCATGGAATTTCTCTCTGGAGTGGTGAAAACATTTTGGAAATAGATAGTGGTGATGTTTGCACAGCATTGTGAATATACTTCATGCATACTGAAAGATGGCTAAAATGGTACATTTTATGTTACATATATTTTACCACAATAAGAAGTGATAAGCATGCCCCAGCACTTACAGAGTACTGCTGCAGGCACTGCAGTTTGCTTGGTGGGTAGGTCTCTATTTGGTGGGGAAGACCAGCACATCAGACTTCTATATCCTTTATAAAAGGTATGTTACAGAACTCTCTGTTCTTATTTTGCCCTCCCCAACAACCAGATTTCCCAAAGAGGTTTTCCAGTGGGAGGATAATCTGTGCACTGGCTGACACCAGTGTTCTGTCTTCTTACCGGTAGTAACATTCCCAGTGTCAGTGCATCGGCTGCTGGGCTGCCTGTGGGTAAAACAGCTGAGATGTATTGAGCACTAACCACACACACTGGATGTGTCCTGTATGTGCCTCATCTCACTTTATCTTCTCCACAGGGCTACCAAGTGCATGGCATTAATGGAAGCAATCATTTTCTCTCTCTCTTGCTGTTCCTACCTTGGCCATGCAATAGGAATGTCTCTCGTCTTCAAAGTATTAGGAAAAGAGCTTCCACCTGTCTCTTCTATCCATATGATTTGTGAGACAGCTAGAGTTTGGCTGTTGTTCCCATGTGGCCCCACCCTTTTTTCTTTTGTGGGGGGGGGTGGTGGAGGGGCAGGGTTGGGTGTGGAGCAGCCTGAATGCAGGACAGGTGCTTCTGCCTCCTGCTCCCAGCCTCCATGCACTAGGCAAACCTGAGTCAAGGCAAGTCCAAAGCCAAGTCTGCATTTGCCCTATAGATTCAACTTCCCCACAGGTGGGATGCAAAGTATAGATGTGGGAGGAAGTTCCAGAAAGCTTTCTCTTGGCCTCAGACCCAAGCCAGTTTTACCAGCAATAAAACTGATCATTTGATCCCTATCTTATTCTTGTACATATTTTTCGATTTTCCTAAACTCAGAGGTGGAACAAGTATGATTATTACCTTAGGAAATCTCATTTTACAGATGAGGAAACTGAGAGGTTAAGTCACTTGCCTAAGAGCACACAGTCAGCACACAGCAGAGTCAGGATTTGAACCCAGGCTCTGCTCCACACTTCTCTCGTCCACCTTGGGGTTTCTTGAATGTTTGGCTCCACCAAATTGATCCAGCAGGTTTTCACCACCTTTGAGTGAACTAATTAAATCCACTTTTAAAATACTGAATCTGCAAAGACTTTACAAACAAGTCAACTCCGGGAAAAGAATCTATTTCAACACATTTGTTAAAGTGTATGCTATTTTCAAGAGGAATCCGGAAAGATATTCCATATGACACACCTGAGGAACACAACTGCTAGATGCCTGCAGCAGTGATGGGGGACAGGGAGAAAAGCCCCCACCACATGCCCCAGGGAAATGTGCCCCTTCCAATGCTCTCATCACAAAGAAATGATACATTGTTGCAATCATAGGTATGCTGCCAATTACCCTGATTTGATCATCACCCACTGTATACATGTATTGAAATATAACTGTACCCCATAAATATGTACATTTAATATGTCAATTAAAAATAAATTACTAAAAAAAGAAAAAGACAGAATTACTGCCCTCAGGCCTTCATACTGTCATTGACATGCCCTTTCATTTGTGCTGTTTTGCTGTCACAGTAAAGTTAGCTTCTTATTACCGTTTCCTGTTTTCAGCCCAGAGGGAGATTGACTGGTTACTCTTTTCCCTGTAAGAGCCCTAGACAGGCTCTTTTAAATTACTCCTCTATTTGTTCTTCTCCAAGATTAGTCATTCTCGTTCCTCTAATCTCTTGGCTAAGCTTTTAAAACCAATTTCTTGCCACCCTCAGTTACAGCAGAACAAAGCACTCACTCAGCTCAGGGAAGGCGGGCCGCCGGGTTTCATGTCACGATGCCCTCTTCCAGCCCAGGATCACTCTCGCAGCTTTAAAGGTGCCACTAACCTCTGGTTGATCCCATCAACATGTGATTTCTAGACTGTTTTCTGCTCTGCTTGCCTAAGGCCTTCCCCGCCTTGTATTTTCAAGAGTCTACTTTTTCTCTCTAATGTAGAAGCCTGAACCTCATTAGGCTGATTCTCAGCCACACTTGGAGGTTAAATAACTTTGACTTCTAGTCATATTTTCCAAGGTACAGTTCCTGGTTTCCCAAACTGCTGACCTTGGCAGATCTGGCCTCCTTGTCATTAACCTCATTCCTTACTTAAACTAAATCAGAACCAAGGCAAGAAATGGTCCCTGCCTAGGCTGGAAAATCACAGTTCTTTCACCCTAGGTAGGCAACATGGAAGAGGAATCAGAAGGCAGACCTTCATCACCATAAGTGTCAACAATATCCATCCTTTGCTAGAAGCAAAAGACAAAAGAAAATATGGGGGCTGCCACATGAGAAAATTTTGAAGAGTAAAGAGAAAAGTAATGAAGGAGCACTTGCTCTGTAAAATATTAAATATATCATAAAGTTATAATAACTGAAGCAGTAAGGTACAAGCAATGGAAGGAGTTAGTGTAGAAAGAGACCCAAATAGGGGCCGGCCCGGTGGCGCACTGGATAGTGCGCCGCTTGGGAAGCGCGGCGGCACTCCCGTCCGAGGGTTCGGATCCCACATACAGACCGGTTCCCGCTCGCTGGCTGAGCGAGGCGCGGGAGCAACGCTGAGGCTTGCAATCCCGTTGCCGGTCCCCGGTCCGGTACGGGGGCAACACTGAGGGTTGCGATCCGTTGCCGGACACGGAAAAAAGACAAAAGACAAAAAAAAAAAAAAAGAAAGAGACCCAAATAAATATGAGGATATACTGTGTGACATGGACTGAATTTCAAACGGTGGTAGGGAACAGACTTATCAGTTGTGGGAAAAAATTACCAAAGAAATTTAGCCTCATATTATGCAACAGAACAAATTCCGAATGGGCCTAAATTTTAAATGCAAAAAGCAAAACTACTAAGAAGCATAAAAAAATATCAGAGAATAAGAACTGATCTGACTTCAGGGTGAGGAAGGCTCTTCTTGGCATGATCAGAGGCACAAACTATAAAGGCACCAATAGAATGGATTACATGAAAATTTTAAATGTCTAAGTGTCAAAAAAATATTGAAAAGAAAAGCAAAGAGCAAATAACTTTGGGGTAGGAATTTGTGGTATGTACAACAAAAGAGTAATATTAATGTAAGAAAACTGTTAAATCAGTGAAAGAAATGAAGTAATACAAGTGCAAATGCATTAAAATTCCTCTAAAACCCACCAAAATTAACAAAAAGAACCAAAAACAGAACAAAAATTTATCTGCCCCAAAACTAAGCAAAGCCCCAACCTTATAGTATAAATCAATTGAATTTAATTCAGGAATTGAATTAAGCACAACTCCACTGCCTGAGAACCTAGTTCAATGCTACTTCTCTGAAATGTCTGTAACAGAAAGTAAGGGGAAAAAAATAGACACCATGATTTTTTTTTCTAATTCTCAGGCACCTCTACAGATAAATCATGCCACTCAAGGCATGATAAATTGAAATTGATGGCAACAGAAAAACTGGTAGCTTCTACCATAAGTCATCAGCTATCACAGGCTAGATAGATCTTCCCTATCAAGAAAGTTATGAGACTTGACCACCCAGGGAGAAGAAAACATTTTTCTTTTCATCTTTACACCCCCCTCAGCATGTAGCACAGGTCTTTGTACATAATCAATCAACAAATATTTGCTAAATTAAATTGTTAAGTGTCAGCTCACCTCTCCCCACTCCCACCACACACAGAAACCCTGGTTTTTAGGCTTCTGATCTATGGAAACCTTCGCATTCACACTTTATAAAAGCCAAAGTTAATACAAGAAAATAACCCACCCAGCCCATTTTCCTCTATAGTGTACCATCTCATCTCAGCCGGGCCTGAGCTGGGATTTAAATGTGCGCAGTGAGAGGAGCTGGAAGACACCCTCCCCATACAGCCATTTACTTGGGGGTTTTATTTTAAGCTAGAATGTAGGTGGGAGATTTCTGGGAATGAGGGAAACAGATGGACTGTCCAGATATCAAAGAGCCTTTGTCCAGAATAGACTCTGAAAAGAAAACAGTTGGGGTGAAAGCCGGTCCCTCTCCTGACCTCTGGTGTGGCTTCAGCCCCGTGGGAGCCAGAGGGACTCCCAGGAATAAGTGTCATACCTTGGAACAAACCAGAGGGGATGAGGTTCTCACTGAGGACACAGGGGTGCGGTGTCCTTAGATGGTTTGTGGGTAGCAAACCATGGAAGAGAAGCCTATGGCAGAAGAACTCAAGAGACTTGGTACTGCATGATCCTCCCTGAGGACACCCAATGGTGAGAGGAGGTGTCAGAGGCAGCGACAGGGAGAATCAGGGCAGTCCTGGCGGGGCCTTTCTAATAAAGTGACAGTCTGATCATGCTTGGGACACACCTGTGTTTTCAGTTTTTTCCTAACCATCTGAAAAAGTGCTTTCTCTTCTTTTACTTACTAAGAATACGATTAGGTATGGGAAATTTCCCATGTGAGTTGCCTGCCTCAGCACTGAAAGTAGTTGTGGGAAAAAGAACGATTTCCTTTCCATCTCTTCTTCCCTTTTCTCCTCCAGCATTCTTGGCTCCGTAATAAACATTCAGCCTCAAATAATCACCATGTGTCTAGTACAGGTGGTCTGGTTTGTCGTCACATTCGTATATGCATTTGCTTTCGTGCTCTCTCTCGCTCTGTCTCTCTGCCTCTCCCCCACCTCCCCCCAGGCCGCCCCCCATTTTCCCCTCTCTGGTTTCTTCTCTCTCCCTATGAGAAGAATAGTTTGCCTACAAGCATTTAGATTTGACAAGAAAATAGCATAACCAGTGCGTGAAAGCTCTTCTGACTCTTTGGCATCCACAGCCAGGATGCAAGTTTGTTCTTCACCCTGTTCTAAATTGGGTGTGGATGGTGAGGATTCAGCTCCGTGAGCCACCGGAGGAAGCACATCAGCCCCAAGTCAGAAACACGAGGTAGGTGTCTCCTGCCCCCCGCCACACCACACCCTCCTCCTGCTTTCAGGGCAGCACTTGCCTCTGTCCCATCTTCTAGCATTGCTAGAACTTCCACCCTCCTCTGAGGTCAGCAATATATTTAAAGCGCTTGTTTTCATTCTGTTCCCATCAGCAAGATTTAGTTTAATGTAAGACACTCAGAAGAGAAATTCCACTCACTTTTCTTCTGGGAAATCAGTTGCTTCACTTTCCAGGACCAAATCCTTAGCCTAACGTTTCTGGAAAACTTCAAAAGTTCATGATTTTATTGAAACACAGCCACAAACATTTCAGGCAACCAGGTGTACCTACAGCAGCACATAAGGGTCTCTTTTTTCCCCCCTTTTATAAAAGCAAACGGTTGGGGTTTTTTTGGTTTTTTGGGGTTTTTTTTAACCCTTTTATAAGATCTTAACGACTTGAATTTTCACACTTCTAAAATTGCAAATTATTTAACGTAGGGTAGAGATGGAGAACATGCAGTCGTGATCTCAATGAACTTAAACAACTCAACAGTGTCCCCTGGTGGTCACAATTACAGACACAGAGAGCTTGAGCAACTAGGGCTATATCTTGCCCACAAAACACGAAGAAATAAGTGTCTCATCAAGGTGAAACCCCCTACCACTCATTCAAAAAATATGAAATGTTAATTCAAATCAGAAATGCAAGGGCCAGCCCGTGGCTCACTTGGGAGAGTGTGTTGCTGATAACACCAAGGCCAAGGGTTCGGATCCCTATATAGGGATGGCCGGTTAGCTCACTTAGGAGAGTGTGGTCGGGACAACACCAAGTCAAGGGTTAAGATCCCCTTACCAGCCATCTTTTAAAAAATAAATAAATAAATGCAAGCCAACCAAATATGACAAGGACCAAGAATGACAGACTAAATAGCTATTCATTTTAATAAGTCACCACGGGAAAGAATGCCTAAATTGAAAGCTAGTCGTCTCTCCAGCCCAAAATGTGGTGAATTCTTTTGGTGTAAAGTCTTTATTGACTAATCAGGCATCTCCTCAACACCAATACCACACCCACTAGCCATTATTCAAAAAATAATTGTTGTGCTATGTGTCAGTACCATTCTTCACATAAGGGATTCCATGTAGGACACACAGACAAAAATCTCTGTATTCAAAGAACTCCTATTTTAGTAGGGGAGAAAAAAATTTAAAAATTCAGAAAACACATTATCTGAAGAAATTCAATCAGGCTAAGGGGATAGAGAGTAACTGAGTGCAGACTGGGGAGAATATTTTTGACAGAATATTCAGGGAAAGCCTCTCTAAGGTGATGGCATTTGAACAGACACCTGAATAATTATGAAGCCACATGGAGAGAGCGTCCCAGGAAGAATAAACAGCAGATGGGAAGGCCTGGGTGCAGGAACACGTTTTAGCTGGTTAGCGAATAGCAAGAAAGCCAGGGAGACAGCTGCTGCTTAATGAGAAAGGTGTACAGGGGCAGATGAGTTCCGTGAGGTGGGCAGGGGCCAAGTTATGTGTTACATGCTAAGGAACAGGGATTCCATTCTAACCTTAACAGAAGCTTGTTGGAGAGTGTTGAGCTGGCACTGCCACGTTCTCATATGCATTTTTAAAAGATCGTTCTGGCTCCTAAGTGACCTTTTAAAAGTTATGGTGAAGATTAAGACTGAAGCCGGGGATAGGGGGGAATAATCAAGAGTTAAAGCAGGGAACCCAGTTAGAAAGCTACTGCAGGAGTCCAAGCAAGAGGTTGCTGGCTTGGATTAGGATGGAAGGGGCAAAAGCGAGCTGGGGAGAAGTGATGGAATTCAGAATACATTTTGGACAGCAAGCCAACAGGGCTTGTAAATGGGTTAGAAATTTGGGGATGGAAGAAAAGGAATTAGGACCCCTTTTCGCAAGAGCAATCAGGTGAATAGAAACACCGATCACTGAAATAGGGAAGCCTGGGAGGAAAACCGATTTGGGGCTGGAGAAGAGGTGAGAAATCAAAAGTCCCGTCTGATTTGCCTGTTAGATGTTCAATACAATATGTTTAGAAGACGGTGGACAGAAGAGTCTGGAGCTCAGAGGAGAGGTTGGGATTGGAAATATATGTTTGGAAATCCTCAGCGTATAGGTCATATTTACAGCCATGAGACTGTTAGAGATCCCCTAAGCAGAAAGATAATAAATAGGGAAGAGAAGGAGGCTAAAGAAGGCCAATAAAAGTAGACAGAGCTAGCAAAGAAGACTGAAGAGGAGGAGCCGGTAAGGCAGAAGGAACCAAAACCAAGAGAAAAGATGTTCCAAGGAGCAGGCACTGGCCGGTTAGCTCGTTGGTTAGAGCACGGTGTTATAACTCCAAGGTCAGCCAAGGGTTCAGATCCCTGTACTAGCCAACCACCAAATAATAAATTAATTAATTAAAATATCTGATTACAAATAGTTTCATTTAAAAAAAAAAGGAGTGTCAAATGCTGTAGAGAAAAATCAGGTAAAAACAAAATTGGCCATTGCACTTGGTAAAATGGAGATCAGATGCAGACCCTCTCAGTAAAGCAATGAAGACAAATGCCTCCCAAATGGATAAGTTAAAGGGAGAACCAGAGGTGAGGACATGGAGCCTGCAGAACAGACTTTTCTTCAAGGAGTTCTACCATAAAAGGGCTGAGCGAAGACAAAGTAGCTGGAGGGCAATGTGGGCTCAAAGGAGGTGTGTTGATTTTTTCTTTCTTTTCATTAATAAGGGAGATATTACAACATGCAAGACAGTGCCAGGAATAATTCTCTATTGGGGGGAAGTGATGATTAGGCAGAAGGGGTGGAATCCATTGCACAAGCTGGGGTGGGGGAGTGGGTGAAGCCTTAGATAAATGCAGGGACGGGGTGGGGGAACACGCATGGTATGCGGGCAGTCGTGGGAAATCTGGGGGTGGGAAGTCCTCACCTGATTGCCTTTAACTTCTCAGTGGATCAAGAAGCAAGAAGCTAATACTCTTAGTATTTGCTAAGAGGTGTGGGGGGGGGCACGGAATTGACAAAAGAGAAAGTGAGCGGGAAGCGAATTTTCTAGGGGTCTATAGTGAGACTGCCAATCATCTCCTCCTGACAGTAACCTACTCTTAAGGCACTTGCCACAGAATGCCGATTGAATACGTTACTGAGAAACAAACCACAACAGGAAATACTTTAAGTTTGAAATATCTTAAATATTTCAAACATCCAGAAGGAATATAACCAACACTCAGGTATGCACGACTCAGATTTCATCAATGTTAACATTCTGTTTCAGGTATCTTTTTAAGAAATAAAATATTTCAGTCACAGTCGCAAGCCCTTTAGCACCTCTCTCCACGTCCTTCCTCTTCCTTCTGTAACAGTTCATTGTATCAAGACAGGAAGCAACAGTGTTCCTCTTTGTCCAGGCCTATCAACAGCTCTGTGGTGACTTCGTGAATACGAATGCTCTTAGTCAAGATTTACCTGTTATCTGGGTTGTCAGGGAGATGACCACAGGAAGTTCAGAAGACAAAGCCCGGAGGCTGACCTTGTAGTTGGTACCCGGGTGCAGGTCCAAGCACATCTCAGAAGCCTGGCTGCCAGTAGTGATATTAAAGATCATTTCCTGGACGAATTCCTTCTGATACCATCTCTGGCCCCAAATGTGGAACTGAAACATAAAAAAGCTGAGCAGGTGAATTGCTGGCTTGAAAGGCTCTGAATGCCTTGACACCTATCCTTTTTCACGAGCTTTTTTCCTCTTTTCCTTTTGCCTCTGTAAAGTTTCTTCAAAAAGTGAAATGCAGTTGTAAGTAAATATTAGAGCTGTAAGGCCATAAATAGTGTAATTATAATATTATAAGTATAATAAATACATTTTTAAATAAAACTGCACAAAAGGCTGAGGCTCCAATACTGGCAAGTTTTTCTTTCTTGTTCTCACGTACACCATGCACATGCCCAGCGTGAAAGCCGGTTGGCAAAAATGCAGAAGCGAGGCCAAAAAACATTTTCCTAGAAAGAAAACGAAGAATCCGAACTAAGCAGGACCTAAATTAGTATAGTTGTAGTTGGTCTGGGAAGGACTTTTCTCCTCTACCTACCTCCTTCTGGAGACCCTACACTTTTGTGTAACATCCTCGCACCTGGGCCAAGAAACACTCTTTTCTTCCTACTTAATTTCTTCTAGTAGCAGCTCATCCCATGGTCTTTCCCTTTCTTACAATCACATCTAGCTTCAAATGTTCCCCTGGACTATCTAGGCAACACATCCAGACCCTGATCAGAGACACTAGCGTGAACAGAGACACACTTGCAGAAGCCACTGAATTCCTTCCACGGATTTCCACCTGAGCATCAACTCTGAACCAGGATATGGGCAAAGAAGCTCTCATGGCTTTCTCATCTCCCCCCAAGGTGTGTGTCTTCAAATATTCAGTAGACATGGCCATCTTCTTGCTTCTCATTGTAATTGGCATGATAAATCTTCTATTGACTGAATTCCTTCCACGGATTTCCACCTGAGCATCAACTCTGAACCAGGATATGGGCAAAGAAACTCTCATGGCTTTCTCATCTCCCCCCCAAGGTGTGTGTCTTCAAATATTCAGTAGACATGGCCATCTTCTTGCTTCTCATTGTAATTGGCATGATAAATCTTCTATTGATAATGACAGCTGTAGAAGCAGATCTTTCAGTTTGCAGATTTTTTTTAAACTTCCCACACAAGACAAACATCTATAAATAAAGTAACTTTCAGTAACTTACTAAATACATCTCCTCTATATCAGCTGTCTTCACACTTCTCCATCTCAAGCAGGTTTCATTAAACAATGAAATGTTACTGATGGTCTGTTTTACTGCAGAGGGAAAGGATGAGAAATCAATTTATACCCTATACAAAAAATACTACCTTTTAATTGAGTTGTTTTCCAAAGATAAGCATTTACATAGGATGAGTTCAGCAGTACCTCAATTTAGAAATTAACAGTAGCAGTCTCCTAGAAACAATACTTTTATATTTAGGTAAACTCAGTCCTGATGAAAGTTTTATGATCCAAAGATACCTACTCAGAGAATTCCTCTTAAAAATTATTTGTCTATTTACTGCAAACTCCCTGGGTTGACTAAGCTAAAATTACAACTCATTGCCCTGGACCCTGGACACCCTCATTTATACAAATAAGCATTCATTTGAAATTCTGAACTGAAAGTAACATCTCAGCAGATTACTGTTCCTTGAGGAACTGAAAAAAAGCTATCTCAAGCAGTCAGGCTTTTCATGATGAAAAGGGGCGGGAGGGGAGCTCTTTTGGTTTGGGCTTCCTAATCTCTCATGAACAAAGAAGCATTTCTCGGCCTCTGCTCAGTTTCATGGCAATCAATCTAAAAGTTATTTCAGATCTCATACAGTTTAATGTAGAGGCACACACTGCCCCCCTGACAAGCTTTTTAAAATAAAAACTACTTATTCAAAACTCTGACATCAGAGATTACTTCCTTCAACAACGACCTGTGAGAGTAGATGAAATCACTGTCAAACCCAGACAAAATAGTGCTGGGAAAGGCATGAAGGAGGGGGGCTTGTGCTTGCTTGTCTGAGATAAGAACTGTTTCAAAGGACTTTCTAAAAGCCATCAGAAATCCCTTCATGTCCTTCACATATCTCCTGCTTTGCATGTATGCTTGTACTTCTGTGACAAGATTTATCATTAGATATTCTTTAGAACTGCAGTAATTCAGATAAGGTACTCTGAAAGAATTTTGCCCAGAAACAGCATCTCAGCCAATGGACTGATGACAAATCGGGCTTTGGGCCTCTGAAACCAATGACCTTTATTTCCAAGCAGTGTACGTGAACCACTCTTTCTTTTTTTAAGGTCAAAATTTTTGTTTTGTTTTGTTTATTGAAACATAATTGATTATACATATCTGTGGGGTACCACGTTGAATATCAATACCTGTGTGCAATATGTGATGTTCAAGTCAGGATAATTAATATATTCAACATTACACAATGAAATCATTTTTTGTGGCCCTATACCAGTTTCTCGCTAACCCCCCTCCCTTCCTTCCCCTTTCCCACCTCCATTAACTTCATGAATCACCCCCTTTATGCCAATAAAATCTTCCTACTACCCTTCCCTCACTGAATGGATTCATGGCTTGTCATGGTATGCATTCCAGATTATAATCCTATTTTATATTCCCAAATAAACTCAACATATTGGGAGAGATTATCTATCTTTTTTTTTTTTTTTAGGTTAAGAAATGTTTCTAAACTGGAAATAATATAGCAGACTTGTTAAGAAGTTTCACAGAACACTGTGACGATTAATGAGTGATAAAGACAACTCCCAAAGCAATTGAAAGAAAGAAAGTCCCATAAGAGGCGAGGTTGCATTGTGTAACCCCCTGGCCTGACAGGTTCCTATGAATGAAGCCAAGTTGGTAGACATGACCCCTCTCTATGGACTGGAACATTGCACAGAGAAAACCTGTTCCACAGGTCACAAGCTATACTTCAAATGTTGCAAGACAGAGCAGGAAAGGAAGTACAGATGATTCAGGGTAATGAGACCCCACTGCTGGCTATAGATGATGATTCTAGAGATTAGGAGTAGTGGTCCAAAGGACCCCACATTTCTGAAACTTTCAAAATAAAGTAACTCCAATACTATTTAAACAGTTCCGGGCTATACAAAAAGGGTGGAAAGTTTCCTAATTCATTAGATGTGATTAGATAATCTGCAATGCCCAACCTGTACAAGGATGGCACAACCAGTCACTAAACACACTATGCCAAACTCACTCGTTAATATAAATACAAAAATCCAAAATAAAATATTAGCAGATAGAAGTCAGCAGTACATTCAAAGAACAAAACACTATGACCAAGGAATATTTATTCCCAGAATACAGAGAGGATCATTATTTGAAAAGCTATTAATAGGCTAAAAGAGAGAAACCATATGGTTACTTAAGTAATCATAATGGTTAATACAATTAATATACATTCCTGACTTAAAATCTTAGTGGGCTAGGACTCAATTTGATGAAAACTCCATAATTTAATCATTAGAAACCAACACACTCATGAAGTAATTAAAACAATGAAGTAATTTCTAGTGAAGTTAAGAACAATACAAGGATACCTGGTCTCAGAGCTATTATTTAGCATTAGTCAGGAGATTCCAGCCAATGCAGAAAAAGGCAAGAAAAAAAACGAATCATACATACCAGAAACAAAGGGACCAATGATGTAACTGCCAGTAAATCTAAGAGAATTCACTGAAAACCAAATGTGAAATTGTTTGAATCCAATGGAAAAACAAATACAAAATAATTGGAGTTCAGAAAAGTGCACATTTTTTTCTATGTTCTTGTATTTAATGAATAGCTTTCTATATATCTGCAAGAACAGGTATGGCAGGCTGAAGAATGACCTTCCCAAAGGTGTCCACAACCTAGTCCCTGGAACCTGTGAATATGTTACCTTACCTGGCAGAAGGACTTGGTGGAGGTAATTAAAATAATGAGATTATCCTGGATTATCCAGATGGGCTCAGTGTAATTACAAAGGTCTTTAGGGAGACAAGATGATCAGAGTTAGAGAAAGAAGACTTTCAAGATGGAAGCAGAGGTTAAACTGATGAACTTGGAAGATGGAAAATAGGCCACAAGGCAAGGAAAGCAGGTAGGCTCTAGAAACTGGAAAGGGCGAGGAAATGGATTCTTCTCTAGAGCCCCCAGAAGGAATACAGTCCTGCTGACACCTTGGTTTTAGCCCAATGAAGATGATTTCAGACTTCCAACCTCTAGAACTATAAGATAGTAAGTTCATGTTGTTTTAAGCCACTAAGTTTGCAGTTATTTGTCATACCAGCGATGGCAAAGTAATACACGTAACAAAATACAGTAGAAAAATTAAAAGATCCCTATTCATGAGAAGACACTATGAACAAATTTCAAATACCTAGAAATAAATATAACTAGAAATGTCCAAAACTTACAAGTTTTTTAAAAAACTTCTCTAAAGGATACAAAAGAAAACAATACAGAGAGAAATGCCATGTCCTTGAATAAAAAGATTCAAAAGTGAAAAAGTACCAATTCGTCTTTAAATGTAATATACTTCCAATGGCAAATCCAATGGACCTTTTTTGCAACTTGGTAAGTTCAGTCATTCATTCAATGAATGTTTTGAAAGTTCTCACCCTGTGCCAGGCATGCTCTAGGGGCTAAGTTTGATAAAATGGTGAGAAAACAAAGTCTCTGCCCTAACGATGTCATTCTGGTGAAGGAGGCAGAAAATAAGTCAACAAATAAATTAAAAATACACTCGTGTGCACTGGTAAGGACTATGAAGAAAAGCATTGTAGAAGGACAGACAAGATGGGTAGGTAGGGAAAACCCTCTGCAGCGATGACATGTGAATAGAGACTGACATATGAAGAAAAGCATTGTAGAAGGACAGACAAGATGGGTAGGTAGGGAAAACCCTCTGCAGCAATGACATGTGAATAGAGACTGACATGAGTGAGTCACCAAGGTCCAAAAACTAAAAGAAAAATATTAAAAGGGACATAACCAGATATCAGTACATACGGTAAAGCTAGAAGAGCGTTTCTCAAACTTTTTTGTGTGACAGCCCCTGCAAGAGGCCTTTTTTAGACTAACTGCTCATCTCATCCCCTATAAAACTTTAATACACAAGATATGCTGTACATCTGTTATGCACTATATGTTTACCTACGCTTCGTACATTAAAAAAGTAATATCTTTTGCCCCTGAAGAGCCAATCTTTGCCTCCTTGTGGATGATTTTGCCCCCCTGGGGGCGACATAACCCCCACTGAGAATGCTAGAGTAAACAAATATTCTGTTACTAGCAAAGGAATAAACAAATAAATCAACAGAACAGAGTAGAATCCAGAACTAGATGTATCTAGTCATGGGAATTTACATATGATAAGAGTGGCATTTCAAATCAGCGGGAAATGAGTTGGGAAATAGTTATCCATATGGATAAAGTAATATTAAATTCCCACCTTGACACAACAGGCAAAAATGATTCCAGCTGGATTACATTTTTAGGTTAAAAAATATTCTAGAAAAGAGTATAGAAGAACTCTTGGGTAGGAAAGAAATAAATTATTTCTCAAATTTTGACTAAATAAAGTCTTAAATTTTTTTATGACAAAAGATATGATAACCAAGTTTTAAAGACAAACAACAAACCATGAAAAAAAAACCTAATATATTTGAAAAAAGTTGACCGCCCTGATATCTAAAGAACACTTACAATGAAGAAAAATACCAGCCACAACATCCAAAAATGGGCAGTAAATAGAAAAAGTGATTCATAGGAGAACCATAACATACCTTTAAATGAATTACAAATTTTAAAAAAAAGGGCTTTTCACTTATTAGGCTCTCAAACATTAAAAGTGATAGTATCCAGTGTTGGTGAAGGCGTTGGGAAACAGGCCTGCATATACCATTGGTGTGTGTGTAAAATGACACAAACTTTGTGGAGAGGAATTTATAGGATCTTTAGATTGCCAATTCCACTCTTAAGACTCAGTTCTACAGAATACTCTGCCCGAGTATGTAAAGGTAAAGCATATTTCATTGAATCTAAGGTGCTATTCCTGTGAGATATACCTATATTATTAAGAAAGAAAAAAAATCCTGCCAAATAAACGCTCACAATCATGTTCTTATCTTGTAGGATTTTTTTCTTAAAAATATTGTTTTTACTTAAATGTATTGATTATACATATCTATAGTGTACAGAGTTGAATTTCAATACATGTATACAATGTGTGATAAGACACTGAGGGTTGTGATCCGTTGCC